TATACGTAATCTTACAAATCTCACGCGGCAGAAATCTTCGCAATAATAAATAAACGAGATTTATATTAATTAAATTATTAAGTTGTTTTTGAAAAATAATCGATTAGTGAATATTTCTTACGGCGATACGTAGTTCCAGCGATAAATACTTTTTTAAATCCGAAAAAGCGACGTTTAATTAATGTCCTAAAAACATTTGTTAAAAAGTTTCTAAAATGTAAGCGGTTCGTATTTTTTCTTATTTTCCTAATACGAAATAAGAAAGTCGAGTACACTATGTCACCTCGGGAAATATAATCTTTAAGGGGCATTTCTTCAATAATTTACAACGAAAAGTTATCATCATTCAATTCTAATAAACTGGTTCTTCCGTATATAATTATTAATAACTTATTACTTACATTAACTCATAAATCATCACTTTCCCGGAAATGCCGGCGGGAAAACGGAACGATCTTACACCTTTGGCCGCCGAATTTTTACAATTCGGCGCCGAATGCCCATCCATTAAAAAATAGATAAGAAATTCGACAAATTGAGAGAAAAAAACAATTAACAAAATTCGCTCTAGAAACGGCGTACACGCGACCCGAAAGGAGCCAACGGACCCCGCGACGACTGCCGCCACGAATCACGCGTTTATAGATGTCGACGAAGAATGCGATCCAGCGGAGACTCCTTTGTAAAAATCGACCGGAAAAGCGGGCGGAGAAGCGATACAAAAAACAGAAGGTTAAATTCCAGATACGTATACCGTCGTGGCAGCTCATCTCTGATTCCAGCAAAGAGAAGAAAGGAAACAGTGGGGACGCACGTTCAAACCTAACCTAACCTATTCTAATTTGGTTGGTAATAATTATGGTTATTTATTAGACTAGGTTAGGTTAGGTTAGAACGTGCGTCCCCACTGTTTCCTTTCTTTTGTTTGCTGGAATCAGAGATGAGCCGCCATGACGGTATACGTATCTGGAATTTAACGAAACAGAAAAAATAAAAACATTCGCGCACCCTAGCGAAATATAGCGGGCAAATAAGAACGTAACCTCGATTACTCGGGTTTGCCGTAGTGCATTAACTATATAAAATGGTGTTACGATAAAAATATAAAAACCTTTCGCTTACTTTTTGCACTTTCTACAAATGCGCCGTTTCTACGTTTAGAACGTCGGCGGTCTCCAATTTCTTCCGGCATCTGCACCAATTATCTTAGCACTATGTCCTCTCGCTTCTTTCTTAATTCGCACACCAATGTTGTCACCTCCAAATTCTCGTGGTCCAAACGAAAAACTTCTTTACCTTTACAACACAAATTCTTTATAACTAAAAACTAATTCTTACTTCTTTGGAATTTTAACTTGTTCCTCGCCTATCCATTTTATTAAAATTAATCTCGTCGTCTGGCTTTAAGTGCTGCCACTTAGCGGCAATATTCTAAATGTAAAAAATTATATTAAACAATCATTTAATATTAATAATTTTACCGTCAAAATAATCGGATTTTAAAGAAAACTAATATTTAAGAAAATTAATATGATAAACGATCGAACGGTAAAATAAATAGTCGATGCGAAACCGCGGTTACCGACTGGCGATTTAGATTTAAGTACGGAAATGTCTGAATGCCAAAGTTTAGATTATGGTGTAAATTTATAAACGTTTCGTTGAGAAAATTCCGACCGAACTAACGACGAATTTATCAATAAACGATATAGTTCGCTACAAAAACGGTGGACCGTGTAGCGCGTTGGTGCTTTACTGGTCCGGAGTCCCGAAATCCAACTCCCGGTTCGCGCCGCCAGAGGTGGAAACGTGGCCGAGTAAGAGATGCCGCGGTCGGACAACCTTTAGGGAGAAACATTTCAGCGAAAGGGCTGCGGCCGAGTAGGAAAAACGGCGAAAAACTATCGCCCGTTCTTACTATGGCTGGGCTAAATCAAACTTTTCCTATCGATATCGGGCTTCGCGCCGAGATTCTTTCGATATATCGATATCGCGAACATATACAGATTTCGGTTTGATATAGGCCTATCCGTTAACGGCTCGGCACCGAACGTTCTTCGCTATACTCTAATTATGACGAACGGAAAGAGCGACGGAAGAAAAATGAAGTGCGCGACTCGGAGTGGAACTCCCGAGCTCGGGAATGCGCGGATGACTATCGGGGAGAGTCTTGTCTCTGACGAGAATGATAATTAAACTGCGCTGCGATATTATGATTTTTCTACCCCAAAGCCAAATGAGGGTTTAGAAGAAAAGGAAATGAGATACGATCTATAAACAGAAGAGTTATAAGAATTTTGCGATTTGAAACGTGGAATATACTCGAAACATACTCTTCAAAGAGTATGTTTCGAGAAGAAAACATCCAGTAATCAGTTGCGTAAGGAAAAGTTACGCAACTGGTTACTGAATGTTTAAAAGTTATGCAACTGGTTGCTAGTTAAGAGATTCTATTTAAAAAATAGCTTTTATATTATTAATCGTGCTATTAATAAATAAATTGTGTGCCGCGCTATTCGTTGCCAGATTTTAGCATAAAAATTTTTTTATATTATTAATTTTTATAAAATGGTAAAAGTCATAATTTTAAGAATAGAAATGAGTTTCGTAAAAATTGTAAATGTTAATAACGAGTAAAATCTTCGTTAAGTCCGAACACTTACGAGATTTGTCACGGGACCTCCTTTTCTCCCCACCCTCTCGATCTTCACTCGTCAAAATTGAATAGTATCGATGTCCCTTGTACATAACCTACAGTACCAAATTTCGTTTCTTAATCATTATCCCTATTCTGATTAAGAAACGAAATTTGGTACGATAACTTATATAAAAGGAGCGTTGATGCTATTAACTTTTGGTGGTGAAAGGTGGAAGGGATGGAGAGATAGAGGGTGATCCGTGATATATCCTCGAGTGGGGTCGTACTTAATGAAAATTTTACTTGTTAGCATTTACAGTTCTTTATAAAAGTGGTCTCTATCATCAAAATTACGCGTTTTACCATTTTAAAATAATTAAAAATATAGAGTTTTCATAAAAAAATCTCGTAACAGAGGGTGCCACATACAATTTTATTTATTTATTATAATTAATAATATAAAAGTTATTTTTAAAATACAATCTCGTAACTGCGGAAAAGTTACGCAACTCCTTGGTAGATTTATTGTCTTCGGTGTATAAAATATAGATAACGTGTAGAATGAACTGCTCAAAGTGGTTGCTGACCAATCTTCTCAAACAAGAACAAATAATATTGTCGAAGAGTGTGTCGCCACATTCGGCTGCCGATCCGAGTTCTAGACTAACATTCATCGTTGTTGTTACGCATCTTAACTCCGAAACTGCGTGTGTACGAATTGTTTATAAATCTTTTCAATAAAAGAATGAGATCTCTGTACATTTCAAAGCAATTCGCGATTAGTCTAATTAATATTGTGCCAACCTCACCTCTACTATTATATCTTGTTCTTACGAAGGCGTGACGGTTTTCAATGACATTGTTTGTGTGGGTAAGAGTTGATGCAAACCTTTATCCATCTTAAGAATATGCTTTGCAAAATCTTTCAGTGGAGATTCGTGGCTCTGCAGCATCGTGCGTAATAATTACTGGTTCACGTATCGACGAGTGAGATTTTATTTTACCAAATCGATGCAATTTTGACATAATATATTTATAAATTACGCGAGTTTATACATTTGTCTATTCGTTTTCTATTGAAAATGTGCACTTTCTCTTTGAAAAAATCGTTTTCGGAATTGCCATCCATTAAAAATAAATGCAAGATTTTTTACATTTGGGAATGTTAAAATATAATGAATAATTTGACATTTCAAGTAATTAACTACAATCAAAAAATTTTTAGTTATAACTAACTCGTAATATCAAATTGAATTGTTATGTGTGACATTAAACAATCGTCTTTCGATGCCACCTCTCCGGTTTCTTATTGTTTACATCATAAGAATTTCTCTTTTCATAGATAACAATATAAATGCATTAGGTTATAAAGTAAGAATAATAAAATCGTAAGATGTAAAAGAGTTAAATACTGTATTCCAATTTCAGAAGAAAATTTACATTTATTCTAAACAATTCCGAAAACAAATTGTCAAGAAAGAGAAAATGTACGTTTTTAATAGAAAATAAATATAGAAAATGCATAAACCCGCGTAATTTACAAATACTGTATTTCATGTCACAATTGTATTTATTTGGGAGAGAAAATGTAGAAATCATCAGTGAGGCTACCGGGCGCTGAAAGATTTCTCAGAGCACACTGATAAGTTGCTGGGGACTTTTCAACTTTGATTTTTTTCAAAACGTTTCAAATGTGCGTTTTCTCCCTTACCTCGAAGGTTCTTACCGAGACTTATCCACGCAAAGTGTGAATTGAAAACTGTGACGATCGCTCCAACTGACCTTTCCTTGTTAATGAACGCCGTAGTAAATTATTCGAATACACAAATTTTTAAAAGTTTTAATAAAACTTTATTAATGTGTACATAATGGTTTTTAAACAAAAAAATAATTACATACACTATAAAGAGACTTTTTTTTATACTGTACAATGATGTCGTTAATGATAATGCCTCCATGAATACAAAGTTCTTTTTAAATAATTATTACTGAATTACCATTTGTGTCCGTGGCCACCGCCTCCTCCTCCGCCACTGTGACCGTGACCTCCTTTGCCACCTCCTCCTCCTCCACCGTGGCCTTGCCCACCGTAGCTTCCACCACCACCTCCGTGTCCGTGACCACCGCCTCCTCCTCCTCCACCGTGCCCGTGACCACCGTAACCTCCACCTCCGTGACCGTGACCTCCTTTTCCACCGCCTCCTCCTCCTCCTCCACCGTGTCCGTGTCCACCGTATCCACCACCTCCTCCATGTCCGTGTCCGCCTCCTCCTCCGCCACCGTGACCGTAGCCTCCTTTACCACCACCTCCTCCTCCACTGTGACCGTGTCCACCGTATCCACCACCACCACCACCTTTTCCATGTCCGTGCCCGCCGTATCCCCCACCTCTGTGGCCTCCTTTACCACCTCCTCCTCCTCCACCATGTCCGTGACCATGGCCTCCTTTACCACCGCCTCCTCCTCCTCCACCGTGTCCGTGTCCACCGTATCCACCACCACCTCCTCCATGTCCGTGTCCGCCGTATCCTCCGCCTCCGTGGCCTCCTTTACCACCACCTCCTCCTCCACCATGTCCGTGACCATGACCTCCTTTACCACCGCCTCCTCCTCCTCCTGTGTCCGTGTCCACCGTATCCACCACCACCTCCTTCATGTCCGTGTCCTCCGTATCCTCCGCCTCCGTGGCCTCCTTTACCACCACCTCCTCCTCCACCATGTCCGTGACCATGACCTCCTTTACCACCGCCTCCTCCTCCTCCTCCACTGTGTCCGTGTCCACCGTATCCACCACCACCTCCTTCATGTCCGTGTCCTCCGTATCCTCCGCCTCCGTGGCCTCCTTTACCACCACCTCCTTCTCCTCCACTGTGGCCGTGTCCACCGTATCCACCACCACCACCTCCTCCATGTCCGTGTCCGCCGTATCCTCCGCCTCCGTGGCTTCCTTTACCACCCCCTCCTCCTCCTCCTCCGCCATGTCCGTGACCATGACCTCCTTTTCCACCACCTCCTCCTCCGTGACCATGTCCACCATATCCTCCACCCCCGTGTCCGTGACCACTATAACCTCCACCTCCGTGACCGTGACCTCCTTTTCCACCACCTCCTCCTCCACCGTGC